TCCAGAATCAAACTGTGCAAGAAGGGAGGTATCAGTGATGCATATTCTGACCCCTGGAGAAGGATAAACAGGAGGAGGACAGGCAGAGGAGGGAAACCCAGAGATACAGTACCTGTGTTCTGTCCCCTGTAGATGCTGTAGGCCCATGCTATGGCCCTCAGAGGAAACAGGCTTCCATAACCCTTACGCTGCCAAGACCACTATGGGGGACAGACACCATCTTTACTCATCAGGGCAACAGCTAAGCTCCTGGCAGGACTCTGGAACTACAATGGGCCATCCTGTTTGCCAAGGCCCTGCCTCTTGACCCTCAGGTCTAGGAAACATCTAGGGCCTCGGTGTGTGCTGAACAAGTCTCACATGGCCTCTCTCATGGCCTCACCAGGTGAACTACTTGGGACACCAGGGACAATTTCTGCGGCTCCCATCAGCACCAGTGAGAACTTCCACACGATGTCTTAAATACCTAGAAGGACATGAACCCCACGCTGGTGTTTCTGTGCTGAATGGCTGGTGTGTAGGTGTGTGCTGAACAGAGCACCCGTTGGAGGGTGTGCTGGCTGCTCCAGATCCTACTACCACCCAGATGGCCCTTGGGGAAGGAGCAGGCCAGAGCCCCACTGGACAGCCAGATGGATCCCCAACCTGCCGCTCACAGGGCTCACGGGCAGGTTGTTCCTTCTCTAGCTCATGCCGCCAATGTGTTAGATGGGTCTCACGCTAATTTGTGATGTAAGGGGAGCTTAGACACTATGGTGGAGACTCTGGAACAGAAACAGGGGAATCACCTAGAGCTGAACATCAAGTGAGAGCTGCGTCTACCAACGTGTGAGGGGTGCAGACAAGCAGTCCCGAGGGGATGTGCAGACCACACACATATCGGGAAGGAAAACAACACAAAAGAAAGAGATATTTGTTCTTTCATTGTCAGACCTGAAAAAGAAGAGAGAGTAAACTTAAGAAAATAGAAAAAAAGACAAGCAAATAGTGGAACATAAAATAAAGACATAGGAATGAAGAAAATCAACAAAGTACAAGCTAAAATTTTAAGTTCCTAAAAAAATTAATACATGCCTTAGAGGACTAATCAAGAAAAAGGAGAAAAGCAAATATACAGTCACAGGAGTAATACGGAGCTGTACCAGACATAAGAGAGACTAGAGAAGCTAAGATACTCTGGGCAGCCTCAAGGAGACTAGGGCTCAGCACCCAGTGAAATCGCTTCCGGCACCTAACCCAGGAAGAGACAGATAAGGCACACAAGCTCAGCATTAAAAAAATAAATGCAGGAGGGAATTAAAACTGAACACACAGAATCCCACAAAGCCCTATCAGTTTTAGAGGCAAATTCTACCCAGATACCAAATTCTACCCAGATAATCTTGGTCTCATTCAAATTGTTCCAGAAAACAGATAATGAGGGCATATGCCTGTATGAAGCTAGTACGAGCATATATCTACACCAGACAAGGGCCGGAGAAGACGGAAAAATGACAGGCCAAATTCACTCATGAGTATAGACAAGGAATGTTCTAAATAAAATATTGAAGGGCTGGGGATTTAGCTCAGTGGTTCCACTGCCTGCCTTGCCAGAGCAAGGTCCTGAGTTCAATCCCCGCTACCAAAAAAAAAAAAAAAAAA